TCATGTTCTATCATTTCTAAGGAATTTGCATGCTTTGATTTTGATTTACGCAAGTAAGGGATGGAAGAGTTTAGAAAAAGACTTGCAAATATGATTCCTTAGAAATAATATAACATGTATGTTAAGCATGTGGTTAGCCATGTTATGTATGCAAAGGCATGAGATTAAATGGGATCAAGATTCCATCATTTCTGGATATGATTGTTGCACTGTTCTAAACTATATGAGTATCATCAAGTCAAAGGTCTGGCGTAGCTTCCGCACATATAAGAACCGAGTACCATGTAGATCTCCCATTGCACATGATCAAGGCTTCTGGAACAACGGATACTGTTGAGAATTTTCTGAATATGCTGGGAATACCAAGATCGAAGGCCCGAATGAATCTCCAGGTAAACAAGTCAAGAACTCAGAAAATAAATCTGAGAATCATACAGTCACCAACAGGATATAGCATCTGTATAAAGTCATAACAGAAATCCAGAATATAGCCATTAGAACCAATAGTCACTGTCTGAGCCTAGTCACAATTTGAACACGAGTAACCATATGCACATAGTCACCATCTGTACCTGTAATATGAATTCCCTCCCCGCTCATGGGTGAAAACTAGGTCAGGGTAAGGCAATGGTAACTCAGAATCGAGGGTACTCCTGAAAAACTATCACCGTATCACCTACGTGAAAACGATAGCCCCTCATTTGTACCTCATCTGAGCGTGGACGACATGGCGGAGATAGTGAGACCTAAGTCAACTAGCCGTTCATGTTCCACTCTATTCCTAGGGTTCCTATGGTGTACAACTCTGGCCTGGGTATTGGGCCTTTTACCTTATAGTAACACCCATCCAATAAGAAGCAGATCCAGTACAACAGTAGTATATGGAAGACAGTAAAATGCAATGCATACATATGCTCAAGTATATACAAAATGAATGAATAAACTGAAAGCGTAAAGATAAACACCCAAATGAAAGAAAGCAAGAGCTAGGAGCGACTCCGGAATGGACCAGCATTTGGTCGACCTATCCCTAGTGAAGTCGCCAGCTGAAACAACCGGCTGAAAATCATCAAACAATGAAGTCGCCATCGAACGTCTTTTATCCCACGTGTAAGGAAAGGTAAACATAGAGAAAACCTGATAAGGGAGAAGTCACGGTCTTGCAACCGAGAGATCGGGTAAGGGAGTCTATTACGCGAGGGGAAGGTATTAGCACCCCACGCGCCCGTAGTACTCTACGGTATCCACTCTTGTTGTCTATCTTATGGGTGTGTTTAATCTATGTTTACTGTTTACTATACTACTGAAGGGAGAATGCATGCAAAAGAAAGGGGAAAAGAATGTAGGCAAAATAAAATTGTGCTCGCCTGGGCCCTACCCCAATGCCTACGTATCCTTTTTGAGGAATCAGAGCTACCGTAGTTCAGCTCACATGTTTTTGTTTGTTTGTGTTTTTTAATGGACGAAGTTAATTCCGCCTTCTGCCGCAGCTCGACCTTTGGAGACTTATGTGTTGGCACAGAAGTAAATTAATCATGTCCTTACCTAAAAAGGGTTTTATATAAAAGGTTACTCGAGTGCACAAAATGATTTGAATTGGTTTATATTTTTGTTACCTTGAAAAAGGGTTTAACTATGATTAGCATGTTTTTGATTTGCTAAGAAGAGAAGTTTTTGTTTTGAATGCACATGCAAAAGGGAAGAAAAGAGTCTAAAGGAGACTAGCCTATTTCTAAACCTAATTTTATCATACACTGGTAGTCCTACGTCAAGGATGAAAGAGGAAGTTTCTACCTAATGTCAGCATGCATGGTTTGCAATCTAAGGTCTAACTTGCATCCGAACAGAGCAAGTGGATTCTAAGGGAACATGGTATGTACAGGGATGAAGCAAGCAAGCCAGCAAAAAAAAGCACACCTAAAGAGATCCTGCCTAGGTTAACATGTCGAAGAAAGTCTAACAAAATTATCCTATAGGGAACATGCGATGAGAGCGAAGTCGTGATCTCAATTTCTAAATCGAGTGACTCATCGATCGGCAAGAAATAACAGAAAGCGATAAAATCCTATAGGGAGCATGCACTGAGAGCGAAGTCGTGATCTCAATTTCTAAATTGAGTGACTCATCGATCAACGAGAAAGTAAACAAACACAAGCACAACACATATAGAAAATGAAGTGCGGAATGCCTGCTACAGGTCTTTAAACAGCGACTTCGAGCGCACGCTCTTTATTCCCTACTTCACATGATATCTAGAAAGTGGTAAAGTGCGGGAATAAAATAGAGTTGTGACGATACCGAACAGAGAAGGTTTGTTGCCTCTTCATAACCATGCAAGCCATAAGAAAACTCTACAGAAGCCTCCTTGAATTCCTTGATGAAAATTATGCTCTTAGCTAGCTTTGAAACTTCATGAAACTCCTCACTCAAGTCTCTTTTATTTCAAAATCTCACACAAAATTGGCATTAAAATCTACCAAAAACATGGATAAAATAACAAACAAAGTTAATAAAAGAAGTAAAATTCTATTCTAATATTTTTTGGATTTTTATCATGTGAACAATTAAGAAAAAAACCATGTAGAAATATCACACAAAATTATTTAAGAAATAATAGAAATTATTCAGGGGGTGCATTGCATAAGAAGGAAGTGGATAAAGCCCAATCAAAATTCAGCCCAATAACAACCTTTTTTGCTCAAAATCCAAGAGCTTCCAAAAAATTGGTGATGGGCTTGGGGAGATTTTTCGGTCCACCTACACCATTTCAAACTTTTTCCATCATTATTGCATTATTATCAATAATTGAAATCTCAAATCAATAAAAAACAAATAATAAATGAACAGTGAAACGACAGTGTTTTGTCGTGGTTAGGTCAAAAGTGGTGATCAGATTCACAAGTTCTTCTTCCTTTCTCTCTCACGCGGCATCGCGAAAGTGAGCTCTTTTCCTTCTGTCTCTTCGATCGGCTTTCGTATTAATCTACGGCGGCCGATTCATATCTGATTGAGTTATTTCACAAGCTTCATCGCGGTTTTCTATCATCACCATTGATTCTTCTCTGTTCTTAATCGCAGCGTTACGACAACTTGATCTTCTCCTATCCAAATCCTTCGCCATGGATTTACATTCTTTTCGTCTTCGCTTATCGCCTTCGCGAACTCGCTCTCATTCGACTCAGTGATGCTCTCACCATCACGACTACGTCATGAACATCAACGGTCCACTTGATTCTCACTGCTTCTATTTTAATTCGGTTTCTCTGTGTTTCTGTTCGTGTGTTTCAAAATTGTTGCGTGTTGTTACGATTTTCTGTCGTTGATCTGCGATGTTGTTTTTTGGAAACAGCAGTTGCATTTCAATTGGTGCATTGAAGATGATGTGATGAAGGTGTCAGTATGAAGGGGACCAAAGAAAGAGTTCATGAAGGATCAACCAGAATCCATTTGATACGCCTTTGACGGTGTTGCAATAACCAGAAATCCAATTACAAATCAGGTAAATCCTCCACTCCATTCTTCTTCTGTTCTTGCAATTTTGAACAAAGTTGTAAGGTTGTGTTCTTGTTGTAGGAAACGACGATCGTTTAAGAAAACCATGCGATTACGCTGAGGTGTTTGTTGTTGATGTAGAAAGATGAGATCTGGAATGAAAACGATTATGGAGCTGCGAGAGAGCTTGAAGATATGCGTGAAGATTTATGATGATGAATGTGTTGAATTCAGAAAGAGGAAGATTCGGTTATATCGATGTAGAATCGAAGATTATGAAGAAATAGCAGGGATGCGGTTCCAAGAGATAGCGGAGAGAATTTGAGTTTTTGGTGAGTTTTCTTTGATTGCCAATCTCTGTATATCTATGTGAATAATTATATGTGTAAAAAATTTGTGAATCCTGTATGAATGAATTCTAAATGTGAATGAATTGTGTATGAATAATCAACCCCCCTCGACAATTCTCCCCTCTTTCTATTATATAATCTGCTATAAGTTTGTTAGGAAGTTAGAATCTGTTGGGAGGTTAGTTATTCTGATAGAAAAATCAGTTAGGAAACAATGGATCTGAAGTGTTCATTTCAAAGTTAGTTGGAGATTGTGAAGTTAAAAACTGTTATGAAGAAGTTAGAGTTTGGTTAATAGTTTTTTTACGGTTAGGCTTGGTCACAGTTAGGAGGTTGGAAGAGTTGGGCAGAATTCAGTTAGGTGGTTGTCATTCTGTTTTGGTTATTGTTATAGAAGTTAGGAAATGGTTTTGACAGTTGGAAGTTGGTTATTCTATTTGTGAATTCTGTTTTGGTCATATGGCAGTTAGAGTTTGTTATTCTGTTTGAGATTGGTTAAGTTAGAAAATGTTCTGTTAATAGTTACAGCAGTTAGGGAAATGGTTTTGTTACATGAAAATGAATCTGAGTTGTTAGATTTAAAAAGGTTAGTTAGATGGAATCAAATCTCAACCCTTGGATTAATAAACTGTTATGGGATTTTTTGCAGAGTTCTCCTTCTGAGTTTTCTTTTCGTTGTATAAATGTTCAGGATTGCTTTGGATTAAAACAAAATGCATAGATCATGGCAAGTTACAATACGCCGGTTTGATCATGAAGAAGATAATGAAGATGGAAGCAAACTAAGGTTGCATTTCAAACACGACAAGGCCACACAGAAAGCAATGATGAGAATTAATATATGCATCTTTAAGTGTATTTCTCATTTTTGTAGTATGTTTTTGGATATTGTAAATGGTGTTGGATATTTGTAATGTATTTTGGAACTTAGATATATCATGGATTTGTAGTGATTTTCTCCTTGGGTCAACTTTTTAATGTAATTTGATTTTAATCAAAACCATAGTTAACTTTGAATCACTTTGCCTTCTTCCATCCCTTTAATTTCTCTTGAAGTCCTCAATGTTCCTCTTCAACTTCGCTGAATCTGAATTTCCAATTCTTTGTTTCCATTTTTATACTTCAGTTGAATGAATATGATGAAAGTCCCAAAAGGGACTAAGAAAGACCTTCGTCCGAGTTCCCATTGAAAATATCTTCACCTTGGAATGCAATATGGTGGACTCGGATGAACGATTCTAAACTAATCTTCAAGTAACAAAACATTCAATTGATATCCATCTGCCTTGTAAGCTACAAGTATAATAATGAACCCACAAAATTATCCTTTGAGTCATGATTCAATATTTCTCAATTCAATTCATAAACCTTTGACTTGGTAACCGATGACCTCATAAAGTACCATGTCTTGAAGAAATCTTAATTCCAATTCTCACGTTCAAGCTAACTTGCAATACAAGCAATCAAATAATTGAGAACAATAATACCCTTGATCACGATGAATTCACAACACCCTCATTTTATCATGTTTTTCTATCCATCAAACATCCAGTAAAAATGTTGACAAACCCGAGTAAGATAGGGTATAAACCCTAGATTCATAGCTCTAAAGAGGAAAACCCTGTGGCCTGTTGTTGATATGGAAATAATAGCTTTGTAGCTTAAGGAGAAAGCAATCTCAATAACCATAGATCACAACCTTAATGCCTCTGAAAAAGGAATCGACCTTTATTGGATATGAACGCCTTAACCACTGTAAAACCCTAATCCTGAAGGTTCTCGACCCCTTGCGAAGTTATGTTGTTAGCGAATGTATGCAATGTTAAATGACCTAATGGAGATATGTACTGAGAAAAGCGCGACAATGCATAAACCAGACAAAAGTAGAAGGGTAGGACAAATTTGGGGTATTACAGGATGACCATTGAAAAAATCTATTTTTATTGAATTCACCACATACTTGTTGCTTTCAACTTAGCATTACAAAGCCTTTATATAGGCTTGAAGGAAACTGATAGAGAATACAAATAGGTTTTCCCACATAATGCTTACTAAAGATAGTTGTGGTTACAACACATTAATTTTAACACACATAATATATCTTCATCAATAAAATATATATTAATATAATTAGAAACTTACACATAATTGTGACATCTTAACGTAAAGCATTTCAGAATAAGATAGGTAATGAAAAATCCAGACAAATACAACATTTAGATATCTTGAACTAGACGGAAAATTTCGGTTTTCAATTTTTGTTCATCATAACCCAAAAATTCATCGCATTTATTATCGTCTACAAAATGAGAAATTATAAACTTGCCAATATATTCTTCGTCAAAACATCTAATTTCTCTTATAATTTTATTTTTCAAAGTAATCATTTTCCTCGAATATTGATTACTCACTGAGCCTAAGGATTTGGACTTTTTGCTTCTTCCACTTGTCCCAGTTGTTGATTTCCTTTTCTTAGATTTAGAAGGTTCTGATGCTTCATATATTTCATCAAACAAATTTTTCAAGATCTCAAAATTACTTGTAACATATCTGAACCTATTATGCAGCATTATAGTTGTCTCCTGCAATGACACTTTGAGAATAAGCAATAAAAAATAAGTATTAAAATTTACTTAGCAAATAACTGTATTTACCTCATCACAAATACTTGTGTAAAATTCACCATTCTTATAGTCAAAATCCACACCCTTCATCCCCTTCTTCATAAGTGCACAAAAATCTGTAAACTCCCTAAGAATAGTGTTTAACGTAACCATCACCTACCATAAAACACAATTGAAGTAAAAAAAAAGTATTTTTCATATATAATAATAGACAATTATACATTTATAAAGGATAGTATATATTTGTACCTGAGAAATAGATAATTCTCCTCCATACTCGAGCATCCTTCTTCTCACAAAACTTGCTTCCATTAGTGAAAAGGGTCTAAAATGTCTACCAATGACTTCCTCTTTAGCAATAGTTAACATCATTTTCACAATTTTATTTGGCAAATCATGTTTAACTATAAAAGGACGACAATCATCTTTGGGAGAATTCTGAACCAATGCAGAGAAGTTGTTCAAAAATACAAACATTATAATCAGCAAAAAAATACAATCAATTACTCTAACCAGCAAAAAGACAGACATGTGTTTCATTAACCTGTGTTTCATTAGTCTGTGCTTCATTATCCTGTGCTTCATAAGCATGTGTTTCGGGAACCTGTGTTTCCATTTCCCAACCCCGAGAAGGTCTGACTATTTTCTTTGGCATCTAACAGAAACATACAAAAATAATAACAGAAACATTTAGCAATTGAGAAGGTCCGACCATTTTCTTTAGCACCTAACAGAATATTTGTTCAAAAATAAAAAGAGATTGAAATCAACCTTTCTACGTTTCGCAGATTGAATATTACAAGATTCTGATGCTTCAGTGTCGGAATTAGAACTACCACCAAGAAATTATGATATGAAAGTTAAAGAATAAGAGAACAAATTGAAGAAAAAGGAACCTAAAAAGAGAACCTTCTTGTCTCACAATTGGTTCGGGTTTGGCTTTTTGAAGTTGTGTTTGAAGCTACTAATTCTTCTTTTACCATAGTTCTTGAGTTTAAGAGTACCTCAAAATAAATCAATATCAGTATTAAGTAGAAGAAATGAATGATAAAATGCTATACCTAATAAATTATTTACCTTCCCTTTTGTTGTGATTGGATGGAATAATAAGTTGCTCCAATTTTCCATGGTTGTGTCAGAGCTTTCTTGTTGCGCCGCTTCCTTTCCAATCTGCTATCCTCTCCAAAAAAAACTCTGTGCGAGATATGAATGAAATGCACCAAGCCACAGGTTAAAAAAATAAAAATAAAAGGATGCCACTTTACTTAGGTTAAAAAAGTAAAATAAAAGGTCTGGGGCGAGGGGGATTCAAACCCCATACCTTGTACGTTCAAGGTTGAAGATAAAACCAGTGCATTAACCACTGGGGCGCAATGCCAATTCATTTAAAAAACAGGCAAATCCCTTATATATAAAGTGTAGAAACTGAAAAAAAAAGTAATTTTAGCGGATTTTTAAGGTAACCTCCACTGGTGGAAGTTAAGTGTAAAAACTGACAAAACCAGTTTGTAGCAGATTTTTAAGGTAACCTCCACTGGTGGAAGTTAAGTGTAAAAAGTGTCAAAAACTAGAAAACCAGTTTTTCAATACAACTTCCACTGGTGGAAGTATAGTGTAAAAAGTGTCAAAAACCAAAAAACCAGTTTTTCAATACAACTTCCACTGGTGGAAGTATAGTGTAAAAAGTGTCAAAAACCAAAAAACCAGTTTTTCAATACAACTTCCACTGGTGGAAGATAAGTGTAAAAACTGACAAAACCAGTTTTTCACCATTCAAAACACTTCAAACATCATTATAACACATATATTTCACATGCCTACTATTAATCATCAAAATATAACACCAACACATGGTTATATCATCAAAATCACCAAAAACTTAATTTTCTTAAAATTCAAGAAACTTAGAAAAACAAACAATCACACAAATCATCACTACATAAACCATACAAATTCGAGATAAATTATATCATCCCCCTTACCTTGGATTTATTGGGGTTAGAAAGGTGTTCTTTGCTGCCATGGACTTCTCTCTTGATCAAAATTCCACCTCTAACATGAACAAACCCGTAACCCTCTTATTCACACTTTCAGCATGGACCACTCAACTTCAAACCTGTTTATCTCCATCAATACATCACCTTTTTAGTGTAGCTGCTCCATTCGTATTAGATGTCACGTGTGGCGTCTCTTGCGGCACTTGCGTGCTCACTGATTTCTTGGAGGCGGTACTTGAGATGATCTTTAGCTTATCCCATTGTGTCCCTTAATGGTTGCCTTGTATTAATTTCCCCGCATTTTTGCATGTTTTGCACCCTTTGGGAAAAAATTCCCCGCAAAATATTAGCTCAAAACTCGACGCATAGGCCGACGTTTTCATTGTATCCTCCTCTTAAACACTTTGTCGCTCCCATCTATTTGTTGGTAGACAACCCCGTGAAAAAAACTTAGACCAAAGCCCGTTGCATAGGCCAATGTATTGCGTGGCTTCCGTTCGTCGGACACTTGAACCATCGAAAATCCGAAATAGATCGAGGGGTCGTCCAAATGCTACGAAACTTTGTAGGTCCCCTCCATTTGTTGGTAGACAGCCCCATGAAAAAAACTAGATCAAAATTCGTTGCATAGGCCAAGATTTGCGTTGCTTCCGTTCGTCGGACGCTTGAACCATCGAAAATCCGGAATAAATCGAGGGGTCGCCCGAATGCTACGAAACTTTGCAGCTCCCCTCTATTTGTTGGTAGATAACCCCATGAAAAAATTTAGATCAAAATTCGTTGCATAGGCCGCGGTTTGCGTTGCTTCCGTTCTATCCCCCTTTTGAGCGACCGACCCCCGAAAAATAAAAAATGTACCGAGGGTCCGTCCAAACGCTACGACACTTTCCAGCCCCCCTCTATTTGTTGGAAGAGAACTCCATGCAAAAATTCAGCACAAAGCGACACGCGTAGGCCATTCTTCCGTTCTATCCGCCTTTTGAGCGGCCGGCCCCCGAAAAATCAAAAACGTATCGAGGAATTGTCCGAACGCTACGAAACTTTGCAGCCCCCTTCTATTTGTTGGAAGAGAACTCCATGCAAAAAATCAGCTCAAAACGACACGCACATCCCATGGTTTGCGTTGCTCCCACATATTGGGCGCCCGGGGCTCGAAAAGCCGAAATATATCGAGGTATCGCCCGAATGCTACGAAACTTTCCAGCCCCCCTCTATTTGTTGGGAGAGAATTCCATGCAAAAATTCAACTCAAAGCGACACGCGGAGGCCATGCTTCCCTTCTAGCCGCCTTTTGAGCGGCCGACCCTCGAAAAATAAAAAATGTATCGAGGAATTGTCCGAACGCTACAAAACTTTGCAGCCCTCCTCTATTTGTTGGAAGAGAACTCCATGCAAAAAATCAGCTCAAAACGACACGCACAACCCATGGTTTGCGTTGCTCACGCATATTGGGCGCCCGGGGATCGAAAAGCCGAAATATATCGAGGGATCGCCCGAATGCTACAAAAATTTCCAGCCCCCCTCTATTTGTTGGGAGGGAACTCCATGCAAAAATTAAGCTCAAAGTGACACGCGTAGGCCATGCTTCCGTTCTATCCGCCTTTTGAGCGGCCGGCCCTCGAAAAATAAAAAACGTATCGAGGAATTGTCCGAACGCTACGAAACTTTTCAGCCCCTCTCTATTTGTTGGAAGAGAACTCCATGCAAAAAATCAGCTTAAAATGACATGCACAACCCATGGTTTGCCTTGTTCCCGCATATTGGGCGCACGGGGCTCAAAAAGCCGAAATATATCGAGGTATCGCCCGAATGCTACGAAACTTTGCATTCCATCCCAATTTGATGGCAGATAAATCACCGAAAAAATTCAGATTGAAACTCATTGCATAGCCCAACGCTTGGTTGCTTCCGTCACTTGCAAAAAATGCAATTATACGCGTTTCGGTCGAAAATTCAAAATAAATCGAGGCCTTATCGAAATGCTACGAAACTTTGCAGATCCTTTCTGTGTTATGAGAGATTTCCGTGCAAAAAATCAGAAAAAATTCGATTCCTAAGGCAAGGTTTCCTCCGCTTCCGTTTTCGAAAATCCGTCACTTAGAAAATTCATAATTAATTCATCCGAAGTCGAAAAATTCCAATTTTTTGTGGGAAGGGTTCTTATATTGTGTTTAATATGCATGCAAAAAATCATGAAAAAAATTCAATGCCTAAGTCATAGAAACAGAAACTTATGTCTACAGGAAAAAGGGACCATGTTGCTGCAAAAGTGAAGTTTGCAGTTTATACATATATAAGGGGAGGCCCTTGGCTGGCCAGGCCAGGGCATGGGCAGGCACGCCCTGGGAATTTTGCTGCATGGAAGGGGCACGCCCATGGGTGTTCCAAGAAAATCCATCAACCCCCCGCACAAAGTCCCATCAAATCTCGAATTTTTTGATTTTCATCATCGAATCGAGTGTTCTTCATCAAAAAATTCAAGATTTGGCTGGATTTTATGCCCCGTGCTGCCCACACAGAAGGCCCGTGGCATGCCACGGGGGGCCGCAACGGCGGAATCAGAGTTGCGATCGAAGTTTTCCTGCAAAACCCCCTAATATTTTGGCATTCCAACCATCGAATCGTTCTTCGGTTGAAAAAAAAAATTTGATGGAATTTTGCAGTGCCCGTGCCTGGGAAATCAGATTGGCATGACCTGGTCAAAGACGTCCGGGAGGTCGGGCACGGGAGTTGCGATCGAAGTTTTCTCGCAAAACCCAATCAAATTTTGGCATTCCAATCGTCGAACGGTTCGTTGGTCGAAGATCAAAATTGGAAGGAATTTTGTGGTGCCACGACCGGGTCACAGAAGATTTGGCTGGATTTTGTGCCCCGTGATGCTCGCACGGAAGGCCCGTGGCGTGCCACGGGCGGCCCCGACGGTGGAATCAGAGTTGCGATCGAAGTTTTCCCGCAAAACCCCCTAAAATTTTGGCATTTCAACCATCGAATCGTTCTTCGGTCGAAAAAAAATTTTGATGGAATTTTGTGGTGCCCGTGCCTGGGAAAAAGGATTGGCATGACCTGGTCAAGCACGTCCGGGAGGCCGGGCACGGGAGTTACGATCGAAGTTTACCCGCAAAACCCAATCAAATTTTGGCATTCCAATCGTCAAACGGTTCATTGGTCGAAGATCAAAATTGGAAGGAATTTTGTGGTGCCACGGCTGGGTCACGGCCTCGTCCATACCTGGTCATGGCCTCGTCTAGACCTGATCACGGCCTCGTCCGGACGGTGAAATTTGGTGCGAATTCTTGCCTTGGGCAAAAACAACGCGACGCAAAATGTTGCGAAATAAGTCGCGATTGGGACTTGGGACTTGGACGTGGGGTGAGAAAATTGGCCTTGTTGCTCGGTTTGGTTTTTCATGCCTAGTGCGGCGGAACCAGAGTTGTTCGATGCTTCCATTTGCCTTCATGCCTTGGCATCGCGGGGAGTGGGACGTTACGCAATGTTGGATCTAGCTGACGCAGGGGGCGTGTGAGTGGTATTGCAGATGTTTGTGTTTGTTGGCTCTATGCTTTTGCACCGAACGGTGAACGCAACATTGCTAATATATTTTCACCGTGTGCGTAATCAGTGTTGGTTTCTTGTTCCTGTTTGTCTTGCCTTTAAATAGGTAAACAAGTGGCTGGTTAGTTTTAAAACCATCCCATACCATTGCTTGGTGTTGTGGTGGATTTTGAAGTGATACGCATGTTCCGTATTAGATGTCATGTGTGGCGTCTCTTACGGCACTTGCATGCTCACTGATTTCTTGGAGGCGGTACTTAAGATGATCTTTGGCTTATCCTATCGTGTCCCTTAATGGTTGCCTTGTATTAATTTCCCCGCACTTTTGCATGTTTTTCACCCTTTAGGAGGCATAAAACGGGCGCCGTGTGCGGAGTCATTAATACGAAGCTACTTGCCTTGTATTAATTTCCCCGCGCTTTTGCATGTTTTTC